CTCCGTTCGCGTCACCTTTCTGACAAGATGAGTGCAGGCCTCCAACTCAGAGCCTTTGACAGACTATAGGTTTCGAATGCCAGTTAAGAGACACTTTTGTTTTTGTTGAATTTATTCTCTTTTTAAACCATGTTATGAGCTATAACTCATGTTCCGTAAAATTCATCAGCTTAAAATGCATCATTCAGTGGTTTTTAACGTATTCACAGGATTGTGCAACCTTCACCCAATCTAACTTGAGAACGTTCTCAGCACCCCGAAGAGAAACCCCACCCCCATTAGCAATCACTCCTTGCTCCTCGTGACTCTCCCAACCTGACCCCTGGCAACCACAAATCTAATTTCTGTCCCTGTGGATCTGCCCATTCTGGACATTTACTATGAGGGGAATTACACAACGGACACGTCTTTTGTGGCTAGCTTCTTTCCCCTAGTGTCGTGTTGATCTGGTCCCTTTAGCAAGGAATGCCTGTTTTTTAATTAATGGCTAGGATGCAATGTATTCTTCTAAAACAAACTTCTTTCGATTTTCCCAATTAAGGGAATTGATCATTTGCTCAAGATACCAGTTATCCATGGGAGGTGGGCTGTTCCCTAGAACTTTCGGGAAAACACAGTGCAAATCCTGTCCAAGGGCCCGGGGGGTAACTTTGCTGTTGGTTCTCTGATTTGGGGAACTTTTCCTCCTCCCTCCCCTCTCCCACAGCCACCAATCCCCTTCCTCCATCCTCCCTGACGGTTCTCAGAACCCCCTGCACAAAGGAATTTGGGGGGTGGGCGTGCGCTGAGCAAAGTCTTTGCAAACAAATACTCAGTCGCCTCTATTCAACAAACTCAGAAGGACAGCTGTGGTCTCAGCTTTTCTCCAGTCGTTTTGTCCAGAAGCAGCATCTACAACGAGTTTAATTATGCAATTAAAGTCATTTTCCTGGGCTGAACAAATATTTACAGCATATTTTGCTACAAATTGCTTCGCCTGGAGAAAGGTTCTGCCGAGCGGGCTGGCGCGCCTGGCGTACATTCACACATTTACATAGCCCATTACCAGGGGGCCACACGGCGCCGAGCAGGTGGCAGACAAGCGAGCCCCCAGGAACAAGCATCAGTGCAGAAACGGTGACAGGTGTCAGCAAAGCAAATGTGTTCCTGGCCCTGCCATGGTACTGCCGTGGACCAATGACGTCCATTGTTTCTCTGCGGCAGCCCAAAATCCCAGCTCTGCGGCATCAGAGAACACCTCTGAGCTCTGTCCCACTGCTGGGGGGCGGGTGGGGGCAGATGGCAGAGAGAACATCGTGCGTAGAACAGCTCTGTAAAAATCAGAGCCACGTCCGTCATGCAGTGGTTCCGGGAGGTGGTCCTTGACAAGAACCTGTGTGTGGAACCTCTCCCAAGGGCCCCCGCTGTGTTCAGTTCCTTATCCAAGCGGGGCAGGAAAACCCAAGGCAAGCCTTCAGAAAAGCAGAAAAAAGTCACTTTATTTTACTTCCTCTGGACTTTCCTCCATCTCAAACTCCCATTTCACCCCAAGGAGGAAATTTCATCGTAGTTCATTGGGGTGATGTCAGCTGACTCAGGGTCTTCTCAGCTTGGGGGATCCTCCCCCTGCCCAGCTCCCCAGTCTGCTGCAAAGGTCTGGGTGGAGGCTCATGCAGTATGAAGGGGTCGGCACTGGGGGAGGACAGATGCCACTGGTGGAGACAATGACTGCCAGGGATAATCCAGACCCAGGTTTGGGAGCCCCTCGGCTGAGAAGGTCTGGGTGTCCCATCATCCCAGGATGGATGAGCGGGGGGCAGTTAGGGAACCAGTGGGGTGATTTCAGCTTCTCACCTCCAGCGCGACCATCTTGAATCTCAGCCCTGAGGGGTGAGGGCTGGTCCTACTCCCACCTTGGCCTAGGTGGCAGCTGCTTGGGTCCATGTGTGCCCCCCCAGCCTGCCCCCAGCGACCCTGTGTCCTTCCCAGGGACAGCCCCTCAGAGCTGCTCGGGAGCCCAGGGCTGGTCAGCCATGGGCTAGCTGCCGTGAGGGACAGCGAGCTCCCCGTCCCCGGTGTAGCGTGAGCTCAGCCCACGGTAAAGACCTAGAGCAGAGCAAGTACGTGTCTGCTGAGTGTCAGGCCCCTTCCTCACGTCATCCCATTTGACCTCCCCAACCCCCTGAGAAGGTACGGTCATGGTGTCCATTTTACAGTTGGGGAAATGAGGCTTGGAGTTTTGTGCAATCACCGGAGAGCACACTGGTGACTCACACCCGGACCCTCCGGCCCCGGAGTCCATGCTGAGCTGGGCTGTTTGTTTTATCCTCGTCAGACCCCAGCAGGGGTGTTACTGCCCTATGACACAGATAAATGTCATTTGGGTGACACCACTGGCCAGAGGTCGAACTGGGATGTGTCCAAGGTTGCCAGTGTTTACTGCCCCCTGGGAAAAGCAGGAGGGTGGGGGCAGGTGGGGGGAGGCAGGCCCTTTCCCATAGATGATGGAACCTGGTGCCTTATTTACTGCAATTGCTGACCGTGATGGCCAAGGTCGTGATCGTGTGCCCTCTGCAGGGGAGCAGGTCAAGGGAGCCTCCAGGGCCCGTGCCCGGTGGTCTCAAAGCTCTAGAAGGAGCATGCTGTGTGGCACCCAGAGGGGCGAGTGGGCAGCCTGGGGGCTCTGGGTGAGGATGGGCCTGAGGAGAGAGGGCAAGAGCCAAACGTTTGTAAGCCCCAAACGTGCCCCTGGCAGGCCCCACCCTGCCCACCTGCCCCGCTGCCCCTGGCTGCCTCGAGTGAGCTTAAAGGCAGGTTTGTTGTCCCTTTTCAATATCTGCTGTGTACCTACTGTGTTCTGGGCTTTAACCCAGTCTCCAGCACAGCTCCGGGAACCCACGGGGGCCAGAGGGCAGCACCCACGCTGGATTCCAGTGGAAGGTATCAATCAGTCCGAGTTGGTCTGGGCTCGTGTGTGCTGGGGCGGGGCAGACCAGGAATCCACACCTGCAAACCACCGGGCTTTGTCTGTCTTTCTGCCTTGCAGGGCCTGGGGCACCACGCAGTAACATGGGCAAACAAGGTCATCACATCCTTCATTATTGCAGTCAGAGGTCCCAGCACAGAAACCAGGTCCTGCAGGTGGATGGAACACAGTTGGCACCATTTGGGGAAAGTGAGTCAAGGGCCAAAGGCAAGGGTTGAGTCCTTGTGGTTCCTTGAACACTTTTGTTCTGTTTAAGGCACTTCCTCTGGGCTGCTCCCCAGACTCCCAGGGCCTGGTGGCAACATGGTCACATGCCAGTGCGCTGGGCACGTGGATGATGCCGCGCCGGGGTGTAACAACTTCCGAGATGGTCAGCTTTGCCACGAGGATCAGAAGCCTGCTGAAGGCCCAGAATAGGGCATCTTAACAATGGCCCCCAAACTCTACCTGGAAGCCCCTCACCGGGGGTGGGGGTGGGGGAACCCTCGGAGCCCAGCAGGGGGCAGAGAAAGAGAAGCCCGGTACCCTGGGGTGGACGCTCCCCTGTTTTGTCTCCCTCAGACGTTCGGTTTCTGAGTCAGAGCACATGCCAAGCAAGGGTTCTGCCGCGAAAAGAAAAAACAGGTTTGAAAGCCACCGATTTAAATTAATACAGCAGATAACATTTAATTGCATTAAACGGTTTTTTCCCCATCAGTTGTTTTGGCATTAGAACATGACACTTTGTCGGGAGAGCTGGGTCAGCGCTCGGCTCTTTGAAAGAAAAGAACGCTCTGGTTGCCGTTTCCCAGCTCCGAGGGATGCTCCTGGCCTCAGTTTCCCCATCTATGAGATTGAGATGATCTCGGCTTCACCTTCCACGCGGAGCAAGGCACCAAGGAGTTTGGGGCAACAAGCGAGTTTGCAGGCAGTGGAAGCAAGGAAAGCCAAGATGCCGGGGTGTGGTGATTAATCTGAGAACACGCGGCTTGCTGGAAGGGTGAGGGGTTAAGCCGCTCTCACCGCCTGTGCCCGGACGGGGAGACAGCAGGTCGAGGGCGCCATGTTTATCTGCCGAATGCATGCGCCAAACCCAGCTTCGGGGTCATTTGCATTCTTCCTGACCACCCAACAAACCTGTAAGCCCAGGGACCAGGTGAGGGCTTGAGGCCAAACCACACCCCCTGTTTTTCTCAGGGCCACCCACTGTTGGCACGCTGCTCAGGATACAGAAGGCGCTCGATGAATGCTCACACCATGGAACTCATTTGGCTTTCTCTCTACTCTCCTCCCTTGTGGATGACAGTTGAGAAAAGCGTTGGTCAAAAAGAGTTTACTGACAAAAGCCTGTGAAATTGGCCTCAATTTCCTCAATGTGGGAGGCTGAGCCCCCAGACCCAAATTTTGTCAAAAAGCACATTTTAAATTCTCCCACTTGGTGATGCAAGACCTACCTACCATTTAATGACACTAACTAGTGGCTTCTAGGCACTAACTGGTGGTTAATTCAGAAAATCCAAACTGTGGTGCCACGGTACCCTGGGGTGACATTCTCTCTGCTCCCACTTCCCATCTGGCTCCTTTCTGTTCCTCCACCCACCCCCCCAGCTCACTCCCTCCTTAGGGCTGATCCTGATGTCCCCAGCTCCTTTGGAGGGGTTCCGACCACACGATGTTTCATCAGAGAGTTCCTTGCTTCTTGGTGGCCCAGATAAGAAAAACCAAGCAAACGAATCCATCTTTTCTACAAAAGTTTATTTTGTAATTTTTCCAAGAAGAGTTGGGGAAAAAAATTGGAATTACGTCAAGGTAAGTAACAAGGGTATATAAAAATAATTTAAACACACATATTAATAATAAAGCAACATTTCTTTCTAGCAACAACTAGTAGAGAATCTTGCCCAAGATTTTTCCAAAGGTATTATATACATCTTAGATAACAAGAAATACAGACACACACGCGCGTGCACACTCACACACCCATCTGTACAGCTCAAGTATTTTATCGGTGCATTCCAGCTAACTGATAGAGCTACAGTGATAAAAACAAAAAACAAAACAAAACAAAAAAACAAAAAACAGGAAAGCCTAATGCATAGTGTCCTCAGGGTTGAACAAATGTGCACTGGAGAGTGATTTTTGGAGACATGCTAAGATTTCCCTCCCTGATCTCACAGTTACTAGCCTGTACTCTGTGGTCTTATCTGAAACCTGAATCTGCTCATCAGTGTGGTCATTACGGTAGGATGGGTGATGTTGGTTCAGGACGTCCCACTCGCTCTTGCTCCCGGCACCTCTCATGGACTGGAGAGGGGGTGATTTCACAGGTGAAGCCCTTGGGTCTGATTACATCTGGCTGATCCTTTGCTTCAGGGCAAGGACCTCTCTCTCGATTTCACAGGGGAGATCGGTGTTAACCTGCTCCTCTAGGTACTTCTGGATGTCTTCCACCTCCTTCTCCCAGAACTCCTTGGAGAGGTGGAAGAGTTCCTTCGTGTTGATGTCCCCCAGGCCTGTCAGGTTCAGGGCCCCCTCCTCGGGGACGTAGCCGATGGGCGTGAGCTTGGCGCTGGCTTCCTCATTGATGCGGTTGAACATCCACTCTAGCACCCTGGAGTTCTCACCAAAGCCTGGCCAGAGGAATTTGCCTTCCTTGTCTTTCCGGAACCAGTTGACGTGGAAGATCCTGGGCAGCTTGGCTGCTGGGCGCTGGGCCATGCTGAGCCAGTGGGCCAGGTATTTGCCAAAGTTGTAGCCAAAGAAGGGCCGCATGGCAAAGGGGTCGTGCATGATGACCTTGCCTATTAACAGAGAGGTGGGTGGTGCTGGTAAATGCTCTCATAGGGCAATATCGGTACCATTTATTGTTGACATAAGCATGCTTGGCTTTGTCTCTCCCGCACTACACATACGGACTAGCAGAGACAGACAGACAGAGAGCAGGCCAGTCACTCTCTGTGGTCGTAGATTTTTCCCTTTAATTTACCTTGGTGTTCTGCAGCCGCTGTGGCCTCTGATCGCATGGCCGCCCCCACAAAAACTCCGTGTTGCCAACTGAGAGCTTCATAGACCAGGGGAACACCTGTAGCAGGAGAAAAGGATCGTCGTTTAAAGGCTTTGACACAGACCCTTTGGCTGGCGATGACATCTCACAGACATCTCACAGGAAAGATACGGCCGAACGGTATCTTTCTAACTGAGCTAATTCCATCTCCCACCAAAGCGAAAGTGCGCAAATACACCACCGAGGCTGCGCAACAGAAAGTTAAACTGGATAGAGCTCCATTAGGTCAAGGATCCAGAAAGGCTATCAGTGCCTTGCCAATTATCCTGGCTTTTTGGAAGCTGGAGATCTTTGGCACCCTCTGACAAGGTCATGAGAAAGGAGAGATTCCATGGATGTCCCCTGGAAGCGAACACACCCACATTCCCAGGCTGAACGAAGGAGAGCCTCACCTGCAGGTCGGCGGCCCCCAAAGATGATGCCCTCAATGGGCACTCCTTCCGGAGACTCCCAGGCGGGGTCGATGATGGGGCACTGGCTGGCAGGGGTGCAGAAGCGTGAGTTGGGATGGGCACAAGGTTCCCCTATAATAGCAAGAGAGGAGAGGCCCCTTAGGGTCTTGTCCAGACAAGTGGTGCTTGTAGGCAAGAGCCCCAGGGCCTCCAGAAGGGGCTCACCATCCTGGGGGGTCCACTCCTTGTTCTTCCACGAAGTGATCCTGATGCCCGGGGCTAGCGCCTGGTCGATACCTTCCCAGTAAATGCCCCCATCACTGGTCTCGGCCACATTGGTGAAGATGGTATTCTTCTGGATGGTCTTGATGGCGTTGGGATTGGTCTTCACAGAGGTTCCGGGAGCCACACCAAAAAAGCCATTTTCTGGGTTGATAGCCCTTAAGTTACCTGCAAAGTTTTAAACCAAAGAAGTAGAAGTGAATGCCAAACAAAGCCCAACATATATTCTCAGCTCTGGCCAGGCTAATTTTTGTACGAAATTCTCAAGTCTTTTTTTCTCCCCCTCCTCCCCAGACGAGATTGGTCTTTTCTCATCCGAGCATTATTTTCTACTTTGACACTTTTACAACCCTTTCTTCCTCGTCCCATTTCTACCAGTACTATTTTAACAAATTGATTGTGTCAACAAGTAGCAACATACAGCTCGATTTCAATCCAGAGTCTATATTAAATTAAAGAATGCTTACAGAATACATATTCCTAAGGCTTTGCAAGATGTGAAATAACTAACTTAAAAATCCAAACATTGGATTTGGCAGGATTTGGCACGCCTTAAAAGCCAAAAGTTTGCTTAGGTCCAATTATTATTGTCAACAGTTGGGCCTAAAAGAGTCACCTTGTTGGTCAAATTTCATCCAGGCGATGTCATCACCCACACACTCTATTTTCCACCCAGGGAGGCTGGGGTTCATCATGGCCAGGTTGGTCTTGCCACAGGCACTGGGAAAGGCTGCTGCGAAGTACTTCTTCTGGCCCTTGGGGTTGGTTATGCCCAGGATCTGTTGGGGACAAGATTCCTCCTTAATCTGTTCCTTCCTGTCCCTCCTGGTGGTCAGTGGCTCAGTCTATGAGAGTGCCCAGAAGCCCCCCAAAAAGAGGTTCCCGAGATCTATGTCTTCAGGTATCAAAACGAACTCTTTGAATAATCAAGTCTAAAGGAGCTCCATTGGTCCCATTGCATTTGAAGTGCTTCAAAAGAAGCATTAATAATCATTGGTGGGATTTCTAAATCTGTCCTCCTCGGGGTGGGTCAGGTCTTGCCTAATGGGAGATGCACTTCTGTACACACTCAGACCTCCGTGCCCCCACCTCCGAGTCTGCACCTTGTGCCTGCAGAACTTCCCACATCTTACCAGCATGTGTTCCGCCAGCCAACCCTCTTCCTTAGCCAGCCGGCTGGCCATCCTGAGGGCAAAGCACTTCTTCCCAAGGAGCGAGTTCCCGCCGTACCCACTCCCAAAGGAGATGATTTCCCTGCGGTCAGGCAGGTGCGCAATGAGTGTCAGCTCTGGGTTACACGGCCAGTTGTTCACCAAAGGCTCTGCACAGGAGGACACATCGCAGGTGAGCATGCCACATCCCCACCTGGGGATCCCCAGAGCAAAGGCCCAGGGTTTAAGGCTAAGCTCATTTGTTGCTTGAGCTTCCAATTCTGAAATAATACGCTTACTTTTTAAAGGTAAAGGGCATCCCACAGAATGGAGGCACTTGACGAATTCCCCGTCCTCCAGCGCTTCCAGGACAGCTGTGCCCATCCGCGTCATGATGCGCATGCTGGTCACCACGTAGGGTGAATCCGTCAGCTCAATGCCGATCTTCGACAGTGGTGAGCCCAGGGGCCCCATGCTGAATGGAATCACGTACATGGTGCGACCTGTGGGGGCCAGTCGATGGGAACTGATGAGAAATGACCCCACAACCACAGAGCAGGTGAGCCTAGTCTCATGGTCCCCACTAACAGCATCATACCCTTGCTACCAGCAGCCCCCCCACCCGATTTTGAAGACTCCACTGGAAACTGAAAGGAATGCCAAAATGAAAGTTTTCATAAACATGCAATGGGTTTCTGCCAAGCTATCCTAAATCCCAGTAGTGAGCCAGACATTTTCAATACACTGCCAGTTTCATACATGAATTTAAAGCTATCTGAGGCCACAGGAGTGTTCATGGCTGTCGTAATTACCATTAGGACGACATAATAATGTTTGCCTTTGCTTTATTTGATTTTTTCCAGTCAAACAAACATCTCACTCACCTTTCATGCACCCTGGAAATCGGGCTTTGAACGCTTTCTCAAAGTCCTCCTCTGACATCCAGCGACCTAGTTGGCTGAGGCCAGTTTTGGGGATGGGCATGGTATCTCTTTGCTCTTGGGTAATGATGACTGTCTTGCTTTCAATTCTGGCCACATCCCTGGGGTCAGTGAGAGCCAACCAGCTGCAAACATGAAAAACAGACAGGTTAGGAATGGAGAGGAAAGTGCCGCCATCTTGCATTGCATCTGTGCCCTGGATTCCCTTCAGCCAAGCGTCCTGTCGGAATGGGCCAGTCCCATTCATTACTGTGCTCTTCCCACACCTAGCAGAGGCCGGGCACACTCACGATGTTCCATAATTGTGGACAACCACACCAGCTGGGGTGCCTTCAAGGAGACATTTGCTAGACTACGAGCTTGTCTTTTAGGACAGAGCAGGTCTGACTGTCATTTCTATCAGGGATTTAGTTTGCAAAAAGTGTTTGTATGTACCATCTCATTGCAGACTTGAGCCACTCGATGAATGTCATTACACTGAAGTCTGTATGGTTCCACCATTTCATTAAGTTTTTCAAGAGTCGACAACCCACCCCACCCCCCACCCGGTGTTCGTCCACCTCTTGCAGGAGCAGCCTGGCGGTGGCAGAGGGGAGGGTGTGAAGGCAGAGGCTGGGGGCCGGCTTACCAGTTGTTGAGCTTCTGCAGCCTCTTGATCATGCCCTCTCCTTCCATTTGGTCCAGCAGCTGCTGGTTCTCCCCCTCGGAGCCATCACAGATGTGGATATGCTCAGGCTGGCACAGCCTGACGTTGCTCTCCACGAATGCTCTTACCCCCTGGGGCAGGCTGTCTAGGGTGCCCTGGATGACTTTGGCTGAGAAGTTGAGGCCATTTTGGAGCTGAGGAGGCATCTCTGCAGGGTTGTGCTAAGGACCACGGATGCCAAAATTCCCTGAAAGAGAAAACACGGCTTCTTGAACAAAGTAACAGACGCCCTCAAAGAAACTTAACATACTTGGTTGGGCGGCACCTCACAAGACAGTCAGAGCTCTTAAGGAGAAAAGGAAACAAGTTTGTGTTATCTCTAGAAATGTCAGTTAGAAATCTCTACCTACCTTTCTTCTTTTTGGATGATCTCGATGAGAGATCCAAGGGTTTCTTTCGAGGTTCTTCCCGCTGGTGGATGTGCGTTCGCAGTGGGAAGTCCACGTTTGCTGTTTGGTGGCAGAAGCTCCTGGCCTTAAATCCCATGGAGGACAAAGGCCCCACCCCTCGGCTACACCCAGGGAGGCTCGTCTCTGATGTCAGGGGCAGGACTTTGGATCAGAGCCACAGTCCGTCATGCTTGTGGACTGGCTCACCACAATAAGCCCCAGGGAGATAATCATCGAACAGAGAGTTGTTAATGAGTGCTGGGAGGCCTTTGTCCCCAGACCAGCCACAGCAAGTTCTTACACAACTTGTGATTGACTAAACTTTGACCCAGTTCACTGCTGATGTCAAACACTCTGCCCTCCCACCCACAGGCAGGTGGGACCCCGCAAGGCTGGTGGGGGCACCTCCTGGACAGCAAAGGTTGTTGGCAGCACATTTTGTGTCCTGCTGGCTGCTAGGTGGCAGAACACCGTCATGGCGAGGTGTCACCACGCAGTCAAGGCCTAGGGGAAGGATGTGCCCAAATGTAAGTGAATACATGGCTCATTGGCAAAAGTCAGACCTCACTGGGGGTTAATAATCTTACTGAGCGTCCCCTGTGTGCCCCCTACCCCAAATATAAACTCTGCGAGGGCAGGAATCTCTGCCTATTTTGTTAATTTTTGTATGTACAGTTCCCAGCATATAGTAGGCACCAAACGAGTGAATGCCAAGCATCGTTCTAGATGCTTTGCATCAACTGACGCATTGCCACCTTCTGAGCCGGAGCCTATGAACAGACAAGGAAACTGAGGCATAGAGAGGCCAAGTGGCTACTCCCGGCTCCTGGTTATAGGGCGATAGAGGGAAGATTGGAACATAAGCCAGCGGGGCTCTGGATCACCCCACCATAGTGTCCCTTGTAAGGTGCCATTTCCTTTTCTGGAATTTTCCATGTATTCTCTAAGCAGTTTCTGGGCTGGACGCAGTTACCCACAGAGATAACTACACACTTCTCATTGCCCTTGCAAGTCTGAGTGTCTGGGGAGTGAAGGGGGCTTGGTGGTTTTGCTAGATTACACTTGAGCAATGAGACCTTTATGCCGGCTATAAAGAATTTGCTTTGCAAGCTGTAAGAATTGCAGTCCAATTTAATGCACTCTGGAGCTGCTTGCTGGCATTTTGAGAGCACTGGGTAAGAAGTCAGGAGCACAGGGCCAGGCCCCCACTCTCTGCAGGCAACCCAACAATGCAGTCAGTGGGCACCTTGTCCCTCGGATGAGGCTGGGTCGGGATTCGCCTACCGCCACCATGGGATGTGCAGAGATAATTCTGTGACTGTGTCTGTAAGGAGCTGTAGAAATACAAGATTCTGGGAATGGCAATCTCAGACCAAGAGTATCCAAAGGACTACCCAGCAAGCCTTAGTTCCCACAGCAACATTAGGTATACACATGTCACCATCTTCCACCGAAATTATCAACCCATTACAATGTCTCATTTACTCAGATTCTTATTCAACCCAATGAATCTCTCGGTATAAACACCATATGAGAGGTTTTCATTTAGTATAAAATTATTTCCCATTTAGGTGACCGGAATTCATTCTTAGTAGCGCTGTCAACTATGTAAGTTTGTGTCATGTCTAAATACAACCACAACCTAAAGCTCAGTTGCTGAGGGACACTTTCTTAGCATCTGACACCAGTGAAATTAGCCATTCAAATGCACGGCCATAAATACGCAACACACGCATTTATGCCAATGCGGTCCATCTCACCAAATGGGTAGAGATTCCCATTTTGCTGATAAAACTGATGGGTTTCATTCCCTCGAAGAGTATATAGATTGAAAACAAAAATGAGAAACCAGAACTTATTTGCAGTTCTAAATGCCACCCATAAATTCAAGGTGTTTATGTTCAGAATCTTCCTGGAGAGAAATAGCTAGCTCAATTAAAATGTAGGAGCAGTGGGCCACCACCACCCCTTGGCCAACTGCTTAATTACCCACACTGACCTCGGGGAAGGTTGACATGAGTCCTTTGCAACTGTCCCTCGTCAAAATAACGTGAAAAGGCAAACATTGATTCATCTGAAAGTACTGGATTTGTTAGAAGAGGGTGATGCAGACAGACGCAAGGGTGTTGAGGATGCAGGGCAGAAGTATGGACAAAGGTCACTTAGCCCTCTGTTGATAGGACCCCAGGGGAGGCTGCCTGCCCCAAAGGGGTCTTTGCAACTAGAGATGGTCTCCCGGTGTGAGCTGCATTTGTCATTTCTGGGGTAAATGCCATGGGGACCCCCTAATTTTTCAAGGGTGGCTGAAGATGCAAGACTGCTCCTCTTTTTAGCAACATATAAAAAGTGGAACCCAGACAAAATTGTTTTTGTTGGAAGAAGGAGAAGGAAACAGTAGACACTGGAAAAAAAAAAATAGTTTCAAACCCTGGAGTTAACGTCTTCACTTCTCCTCGTGAGGTTCCACACACACTTGTAGCCGTGGAAGCTGCGGGCTAGCTGTCCCCAGGGTCCGAGGAGGGAGCGAGCAGGACTCTAGAAAGCCTGTGCGGAGTGGGGCAGCGGAGAAGGCTAGCACAGAAACCAGATGGCTGTCTAGAGCTGCCAAGACTCAAGTGAGCAGGTGAGGGTGGGGGCAGGGAACACCGGCCTTCCAGGTAAACAGTGGAAAGGAAACCATGCACGTAGGTGGGGTCTCACAAAGGATGCTGAGGACAGTTGGATGGAGACGTATGCTGGTGGTTTCTTCGTTATCTGAGAGCCAATTAAAAACAAACAAACAGACAGGAATTCCAAAGACCATCAACACCAGTGTGTAGACTTCCTGCAGAGATAAGAGATGCTCGGAGGGATTGCGGGGGCGGGGAGGGTGGATTCCACTGAGACACCCCACAGCACGCGGGGGAGGCCCAGTGAGACGTGCCCAGAGCCTTCTCACGCACAGCAGTCCTGACTTCATCTGTGGTGTGTATCAGCCTTCCATATTGGATCTTTGTTTGAACAAGGAATTCCACAGCCAAAACACACTGGGAATCCACCAATCACAACCAATTCCTTCCTTGGAGAAGTGAAACAGCTGAGACCCAGAGGATGCAAATGGGACATTTTCCCAAGCTGAGGCTCTTAAATGCAAGCTCACGGCCTCCCCTCTCCACCCCACCACTGATCGGGTTGACCACAAAAATGCCCCTCAGTTAAGGAATCTGAACTCGTAGGAAAGCATGACCCTTTCTTTGTAAAGACAGAAAGGGAAGGTTGTTTTCCAGAAGGTGATAAGAAACTAGCGTGTAAATCGCATGTCTTGTGCTGGAGCCAAAGGTATATGCGCAAGTCAATTCTGGTCTCCATTGCCAGGATGCTACTCTGTGGGCATGGACTGGCCCAGCCATGGAAGTTTCCAGACAGCAAGAAAACATGTTCAGCTGTGTCATGATCTGCCATGGAATCACTTGCCAGGGCAATCCCAGGTGTGTTTGTTAGGGACAAATATTTACATATTCTCCATTTATGGGGTAATCCTAATGTCTTTGCAGGCTGGAGGGTATTTTTTACAGTTGAACGAGTTGAGTTTCTATTTTGGAGCCATAGAATCATGTAATTGAAAGGGTCCTTAAAATGTTATGTTAATCCAGCTTAATGGATAGGGGGTCTCCTCTGGGGGTGATGACAATGTCTTGGGACTAGACAGAGCACTGTGACTGTACTAAAGCCCACTGGATTGTACACTTTAAGATGGTTGGGTTTATGTTATATGCATTTTGCCTCAATTAAGAAACAAAAAAGATTCTGTAGCCCAATCTTTTATTTTGAAGAATGTGGGAACAATGAACAGGTGTAGGGAGCAGGTGTACGGGGGAGGTTTACCAGAAGCCCCCTCTAGGATGCAGGCAGGTATCCCACACCCTCCACTCAACCATCACCCCATGACCTAATCCTTTCCACTTCTCTCAATGGCCTTGCGATGTCTTAAGACCTTGATCGTGGGCTGCATGCTCACTCACCCAGCAGAGATGACAATTTCTATCATTTGGGAATCTTCCTTCAGGACGGTGACGATATTGTTTGTATATTCTTTCCACGGCGAAGAGATAAAAATGAATCTAGAGGTAAACCACTGTGCTGGGTGCATGTTAATAAAGCATGATTTTTGCCGCAAAGATGTGCCCACAAGACGTGTTCAATGAATGTTAATAACCAGGTGTTAGAACCTTTTCAGAGGGCTGGTTATCTCCCATTTCAGTCATTAGTGACCCATGGAAATAGTGACTCCATAAAATCTTGTTGATTTTCTTTGGCGATGTCTCTGTCAGGTTTATGGAGAGGCATAAAGGAGCTCTGGCCATGCAGAAATGATGCACAGGGTGGATGGACTCCAGTGTGAGATACCACATCCATCCCGTGAATGACTTCACCCTTCAGAGAGCAGTGTCACCTCTGCGGGACGCCGACGCTGAGACAGAGGCTGCAGCACCGGGCCACGACGGGTGGGTCGCCCTCAAAGGCAGGACAAGCAGATTCTAGAACTGCTCGTGTGGTTTGCCTCCCGTTGCTCTTTACCTGGGGCCGTGTGAGACAGTGACACCACTTTGCCCAAGCCATTTGGGTCGGATGGTCTGTAGTTTGCAGCCCAACACATCCTAAGTGAGACAAGGATCCCTCTCCCAGTCGGCATGGAACCCAGACCCAGGAGCCCTGGGTTGACTCCAGAGCCAGCTCCCCTGGAAATCAGACCACACTCTTCGCCTGCACAGCATGCAGGTGGATAACATACGCACCAAGGCCGTTTCTGGCCATAAAGTCCTGTTGAGTTATCGCTGCTCACATTTGCTGTCACGGATTCTGAGATCCACGGTGGCTTTGGCCTCATCTTATTTCCCTCTCACCTACTTTGGAAGACTGGTGACACTGTGTTTGCTAAGCCTCTCTTTGTGTCAGAGGCCAGGGAGGTCTTTGTTCCTGTTAAAATGGGAAGTCAGGGGCGCCTCGGTGGTTCAGTCGGCAAAGCATCTGCCTTCGGCTCAGGTCATGACCCCGGGGTGCTGGGATCGAGTCCCACGTCGGGCTCCCTCCTCGGTGGGGAGTCTGCTTCTCCC